AATAAGCACGGATAAAATTAGAAATGGTTGCTTCATGCACATCCATTGCGGCAAGTTGTATGGAATGAGCATAACAGGCCAAGTGATATGAACTATGTTCATCGTCCTAAACAGGTTAAAACTATCAGATGCTAAGCCAAGCCTTACACTTCGGCAATCATTACTAAAGTCAATATTCCGACGGTCAAAATCTTTCCATGCAAGGGAGTCAGCAGGATGCCTAAAGACACCATCATCAGTTCGTTCCTCTGCATGCCATCTCATTAACTTGACCGTCTTGGATGACATAAACAACCTCTGCAACCTTGGCTGTAAAGGAAAATACCTCATCTGTTTTGCAGCTATTCGTTTGCCACCTTTGTTGGGACCATTTGAACCACCATCACCATTTGATTTCCATCTAGAACTGTTGCATATAACACATTTATCAAGATTAGCGTCCTCATTTCGAAACAACATGCAACTGTTCAGACATGCATCCCAAGTCTCATACGTGAAGCCCAAATCTATTGTGACCTTTTGAGATTTATAATATGAGTCTGGGAGTTTCACACCCAACAGGAACACCTCATTCAATAACTCAAGCAACATGTCAACAGACTTGTCTGTCCACTGATTAAGCACCTTCAAATGTAGAAGTCGAACAATGAATGACAAAGAAGTGAACTTCTGACAACCCGGATACAATTCACTTTGTGCATCTTGAAGAAGTTTGAAATACTTTGCAGTCTCTACATTTGGACCGAGCTGGGGTTCAGATGCATGGGGATCAGGCCCCTGTGGTTAATTACCCTCAACACTTGTACCGGCATGTGGATTTCCCATAGCCCCTTGTATCATTCCAATCATATCATCCCCAATGTCTAAATTAGATAATGTTTCATTCTCTCGATTATCATGCAGAGATACGTAAGATTCCCCATGATTAATCTAATGTTTGTATTTTTTTAAAAAAACATTCAAAATCAGATGCTCATGTACACCCTCTCGTACAAGATGGTATCGATTCTCACACTTTCTACACGGACAACTGATCATCGAATCTTCAACCCTATTGGTGTAGGCAAACACAAGGAATTCATCAATCCCGTTAATGTATTCGCTCGACATCCTATTTGGCAAATCAATCCAACTCTTATCCATCATCTGTACACATCCACAAAAATATCTCATCAAATTAACTCTAAATATAATACCTACGTATTCATGTACCATGATACCTATCCGTCCAATTTCTCTCAAATAGGTAGGTGGTCTTATCCTAGTTAGTTATTTACCGATTTGATAGGAGAACATAAAAAATGAAATACTTATACAACAACACTTGAGATCAATTAATTGAAGAAAAAAATGATATAATTTCATACTTTATGAGTCATAACTAAAAAAATAAATAAATCATAACCGAACACCACATGAGGCACAACTAAAGACCTTATAAGTCACAACTAAAATAATATCATAATTAACGAAGATAATTCATCATAACTAAATAAAAAAAAATGACATAACTAATGATGCATATGATAAATAGATGTGTATGGTAGAATTCTCCAAATTATTAGTATTCCATAATATTATGCGGCATTATTTATAAACTTGATAGATGAGTTGTACAAAAACACACTAATCATATATTGTCTAAAAAATTATTTAATAAAGATGGATCATTATTGTCTATATTATTATTTTGAACACCACATAGATAATCTTATGTAATATTTCAAAATTATTAAATGATCACATTTAATCTCATGAACAATTATCAGTCTTTGTTCTCTTTATTGAGACACTTGAATTGTACTAGTGTTCAATTTTCTTTTTCTAAGTGTTCATGTTTTGTTTTTGAGTTGATGAATGACAAATAGTGGAGCCACCTATGTGTCTCGTGTAAATCATTTTGTGTTCCAAAAGCTATGTAAACAAGTTGTTATTTGATTTGATGGAGCTGTGAATGACTTATCTATGGAGTTTTTGGCTCTCTTTCTAGGTGTTCATGTTTTGTTTTTGAGTTGATGAATGACAAATAGTGGAGCCACCTATGTGTCTCATGTAAATCATTTTTTGTTCCAAAAGCTATGTGAACAAGTTGTTATTTGATTTGATGGAGCTGTGAATGACTTATCTATGGAGTTTTTGGCCCCCCACAAACAAATTTATTGCCCCATGGAGTCATATCTCCCTGGTAATGTCTTGCACTTTCTTCCTATAATCGAGCATAGCATGCAAAATTAAAAGTGTATACTAATATAGCTCAACTTTATTTATTTTTTCTTAGAAATCATGACCTACTATCTTATAGAGTTTGCCTAAATATTTTATTTAAATTTTTTTAATAATAATTTTGAACAAGTCATGTAGCTCAATTTTTAAGATCTTATAAAGCTCAAGTTAGGGATTGAAGCCCCTTTCCCTCTCTAATTTCTAATTATCAAGTCTTCTAAAAAATTCATATCAATAATTATCAAGTTATAGAGCTCAATTATTTCAGGAATTTTATTCTACATGTAAGTCTTAAGACTACTATATAATATTTTTTTAAAAAATTAAAGTAAGTCATTTTAAGGGTGTCCCTTCCAAAAGTCTTTTCAAATTTTGTATGGAAAAACAAATGCATCCTTGAGTATGGTAAGCATTTGATAATGTCTATAATTATTGTTTTTCTATTTACAACAACAACAACAACAACAATAATAGTAATAATAATAAATTGTAACATGAGGCATAAGGAAAGATAAAATTGAAAAAAAATAAGATTAACATTTCAATTAATAGATAAAGGAATATGTCACAAAAGCAAATTGGTGAATGAGTGGCTTTCATATGGTTCTCCTTCTCTCTGCTTTTCCAAACATACCTATATTCACAAGGCCTCTTGTGTTTGATGTGGATCATAACACAAGTTCCTTGAAAAAGACGTTTAAATAAGAAAATGGAATTTGATGAATCAAATGGCACTGGCCACTACAACATACAAACAAAAGATTGCCCTGTAACATAAAGTCATTGCCCAAATCACTTAAACAGGACAAATATCCAAATGGGTTTGATTATTGATGTCCTATAGTGGGCTTACATGAGTTAATTGACTTATTTCATAAACAAAGATCATCTCTGCATCATTACTCTTCACTCTTCAGAATCCTTTGAATTGTGATCTGGATGTCTGATCAACTTAAAAAATGGAGGGCCAATCAAAAAAAAAAAAAAAAAGAAACTTTGAAGATGGAAGGGCCATCAATTTAAGCCATTAAATCTGCAAATAGCTCTCTTTGAGACAATTGAAGAACACCAAGAAAGGAAAAAAAAGATCAAAAAGAAAAGGAATAGCTAATCCTTGACCAAAATAACATGCTTCAAATATTGAATGTTAACTAAATCAAACATATAGCAGAAAATAAATGTATCCAATCCTTGACATATACACACAAATTCACATGCACAAACAAAATACATACAAAACACTGAAGATCGTGGAAAAATAGAGAGAATGAGAGATGGTAGAGAGAGAGAGAGCATACGCTGAGTAGCTGTCGTCGTCGCCGCACCACCGCTAGCCTGCTCGCAGTTCGTCGCTTGTCGTCGCCGCACCACCGCACCACCGCTAGCCTGCTCGTCGTTCGTCACTCATCTAGAGAGAGCCCTTCGCCGTTCGTTTGGGGATTTTGGGGGAAAAAATTTTGTTTCAAACAATTAGGGATTTCGATCCAACTGATCGAGCGGCAAGATGAAAGGCGGGACAATTTTGTTTTTTTTAACTTTTTGCGACGGTACGTTGTACACCGTCGAAAATGATACATAATTATATATAAAACAACACCGTTTAAATAAGCCTTCTTTTTGCAACGGACACTTGCCGTCGCAAATTGTCAAAACGATGCCGTTTAAATAAGCCTTCCTTTTGTGACGGACATTTGCCGTCGCAAATTGTCGAATATTTGCGACAAAAAACTTATGCCGTCTCAAACAAATTTTTTTTGCGACGGTTCAAAGCGCCGTCGCTAATACTTCGGCATTTAATACACGACCCGTGTAGTTTTATTACCGACGGTTAAACGCCGTTGCTAAAACTCTTTTTTGCGGCAGTTTAATCTACCATCGCGAAAAACCATTTTTTGCGACGGGAAACGCGTCGTCGCAAATGCTTTCATGTTTTTTACCCTCTTTTCTTGTAGTGTAATCACTTTAATATAATTACCATACACAAGTTATTGAGAGTATTTGGGAAGTTGACTATTTTAATAAGTTAATTTAATTTTTGATTCTTTTAGTATGTTAAAATAATAGAAAATTTATTAGAAAATCCTATTTTGGGAACTTCTATACCATTTGGTCGCACGTTTTAAATAGTTGATTGAAGAGTCCTTATTAGGCATAGTGTGTGACCGGCAAGTCATTTTTTAAATGTGGATGGGTATTGGTTAGACAGATATACCCTCACTAGTTAATTGGAGAATTTTTTTTTTTTTTTTTGAATGTGTGACAGGTATGATATGATATTTCAATGTAGCTGGTATTAATATGACACTCCAAAAAAATAAAAAAAAACTCCTTATGTTGTGTTTGTTTGGGTGATTTTGGAAGGGATTTGGAAATAAAAATAGAAAATGTGTGTGAAATTATGTGAAATATAAGTATATTTTATTCACATTTCAACTAATTTTTTCATTTTCCTTTCCAAATCCATTCTCAAATTTCCTAACTAAATAATAATTTATCTTTTAATACTATTTTAGTAATAAAAAAAAAAACCTCAAAAATCGTTTCCCAAACAGGGCCATTATGCCTTCACATTGTCCATGTGTCCCCTTACATTATCTAAGTAAATTATTGAAATGAGAAAAGTTGAAATTTATCATCTTTGGATTACCTTAATTAGTATATGACACTTTGTTCTAAGTATAATGTAAGGATCACAAAATTTTCATAATTATTCACATGAAATTTTTTTCATAACACCTAACATTGCTGGATTGAAATAAATAGTCAAACCATCCAAAGAGACTCAACATATTCTTCATTCCACAGCCGAGAGAGAGAGAGAGAATAAGAAAACTAGCAGTAGACTCAAATATGGGTAGTATTTGTATTCCAGTAATTGATATGACAGAAGATTCTGTAGGACAATCAGAGAAAATAGTAGAAGCATGCAGGGAGTGGGGATGTTTTAGGATCATCAACCACGGCGTCCCACCGGAGTTGATGGCGGAGATGAAGGTGGCGACGCAGTCTCTGATGGAGCTCCCGGTGGAGATCAAACGGCGGCGTTATCATCCAGTGGAAAGCCATGGGTATGTATCAGTTAACAAAGTCAGTCCAGTTTATGAGAGCTTGTTGGCTTGTCATGACTCCTGTGTCCCTGGTGCTCTTGATAATTTTTTGGATCTCATGGCTGTCTCTCCTCACCTAAGGTGCTCTCTCTCTCTCCCTCTCCCTCTCTATCTCTCCATGTTGCTTCAATAATCTGCTTAGATAGACGGTTCAAATAAACAAAAAAATAGATCTGAAATTAATAAGTCCAAAACTTCTTAAACTTAAACTCTAGGCACACTCGTTGAATGAGGGGGAATCTTTTCCTTCTTGTTATATACTGGGGATTTTGGAGTGGTTTATAGGGATGACAATTTAAATCGGTTCGATAGGGATTCGATTTTTCGATCCCGATTAAAACAGATTTTTTTCAAAAATTATCTTTATAAAATCGGGAATGGTATTAAAAATTTAATCCCTGATAATTTTCAGGCTGGGAATGATAATAACTTTCCCAGACCCGGCCCGGCCGCAAACAGCCCCGAACGTCCATATATATATAATATATATGTTTAGGCTGCTTTATATTATATATTATATGTTTGTTTAGACTACTTTATGATGTATTATATATATATATATATATATATATGTTTAGGTACGCAGGTTCTTAAGGACTAGTCAAAAAGCATTCTCAACTGTTTCACTCTCTTTCTCTCTCTTCTCCCTTTACCCTCTGTGAGAGAGATGAATTCTCTTTCTTCTCCCTTTAGTCAAAAAGCATTCTCAACTCTTTCGCCTTCCAGATTTAAGCCACGGAGAAGCATTCTCAACTCTCTCACCTTCCAGATTTAAGCCACGGAGAAGCCTAGAGTAGATCGGCAACGGAGAGTTCCTTCCAAATCTGAGTCGCGATGAACATTTCTTCCGATTTGAGATATATATATCGATATATATTTTTTTGTTGTTGATGTTAATAATGATGATTATTGATGATGATTTTGTAGACTATAGTTGTTCATGTTGACGATGATGATGAGAGATATTGCTTTGCTCCTTTTTTTTTTTTTCTTTTTGGCCGGCGATTTTCGGGGTCGGGGAAACCGATCCCCGTTAAGGGGTGGGGACGGGAAGGGTAATAGGTTCCCAATCGGGGCCGGGTCGGAGGAATTTTCATCATTAGGGATCGGGGACGGGGAGTGTGATCCCCGGCCCGCCCAGCCCCGCCCCGCCCCGTTGCGATTCCTAGTGGCTTATTTTGGCCAACTTATAGATTTTAGTTTTGAAAAAGTTATTTTGAACTGTTTGGTTAAAATTATTTCAAATAATTTCTGATTCTTGTAATTTATTTTAACTTATAAAAATTGATTCTGAGAAGCTGTTCACCATTTACTTCTGATTATTAACTTCTGTTGTGGACACCTTACTTTAAGGTTATACTCTTAGATTTTTTTTATTTTTTATTTTTTATTTTTAAAAAATAAAAAAAAGACCCAAATGGATTATGAATTATTATTATTATTTTTTATGAGAAATGTAAACAAGTAGTGAATAACAAAAAATAAAGGTTAATTCAAAAAGTTATTTCACAACTTATTTAATAAATATTACTCAGCAATTTAAATCTATAATCTAACAGTTACACCAAATAGATTAACAGTTTCTGATTAAAGTCATAATTTATAATCTGTTAAGTTATAATCTACAATCTTTTTTAAAAGTTACATCAAACGGAGCCACTATTGGCCTCGTTTAGAAACATGATATTTCAGTAATTTTTTAATTTTTTAATTTTTTTAGACTAAAATATGAGGTAAAAAAATTAATATGTTTAGAATGACTTTTTGATTTTTTACGAAAAGATGTGCAAAAAGTAGAGAGAAAAGAAAATCTTTAATTTTTTGATATAAATTATAGATTTTTTGATTTGTTTAATAACTTTTTAACTTTTAGATTAAAACACTCAAATGCCAAATGAGGCGTCTGTCTACCTATATGTAGTAATACTGCGAACTTAAATTTATTTAAAATTTTATCAAGAAACATTAATGTAATTGGGTTTTATACACGGATTTTACTATACAATAATTAATATTGCATTTGTGGTAACTTTTCTTTTTCTAGGACGGTAGAGTTTCCATCTGGTCTATATGAGATCACCTTTTTTAATTCAATTATGTACATATTAGTGTATCAATTAGTATTATATCATTGTTACTGATTTCACCTATTATATAAATTACAAATATCTAAAACGTTTAAAATTATGTCACATCTGTTAATATATTAATTAGTACATTAATTAGTACATATATCATTATTCTTCTAATTAAAGTGGGATTACATAAAACCACCATTGGAAGATAAAAATCATAACATGAGTTTAGAAGAATATCATGTGATCATGTACCTGATAAATAGTATATTAGTATTTCTTTCATGATATGCCATTATTATTTTATTTTTTGGGATCATATATGATCTCTTATTATTGGGCGGGTAGACATCTAGGAAGCATAGATACGGATACGAGATACGGATACTACATGATACGGATACGGCGATACGACAGAACTTAAAAAAATAGGATATGGGTACGGCTAGGATACATTTGTGAAAAATATGTTTTTTAAATTTATTTATAGTGAGTTACACATAAGCTAAAGAACGTTAAGAAACCACAATGTAATTTTATAATGCAAAATATTATCCTTTAAGAATTTTGTATTAATTTAAGCTAGTAGTTTGTTTACTTTTTAAATTTTTAATAGGTCTTGCAAATATTTCATTTCAGTATCAAGTTTACTATATTTATATTACAATAATAGAACAATTACAACTTGTCCCTATGCTTTTTCCTTTGACACTAGTGAAAAATATTGTATTCAAGTTTACTTACTTATTTATTTATTGATATTAATTTTACCATTGTTATATTCTCTTGTTAATTCTTACTTTCTATGACCATTGGAAGAGAAAAATCATAACATGAGTTTAGAAGAATATCATGTGATCATGTGCCGGATAAATAGTATATTAGTATTTCTTTCATGATATGCCATTATTATTTTATTTTTTGGGATCATATATGATCTCTTATTATTGGGCGGGTAGACATCTAGGAAGTATAGATACGGATACGAGATACGGATACTACATGATACGGATACGGCGATACGACAGAACCTAAAAAAATAGGATATGGGTACGGCTAGGATACGTTTGTGAAAAATATGTTTTTTAAATTTATTTATAGTGAGTTGCACATAAGCTAAAGAACGTTGAGAAACCACAATGTAATTTTATAATGCAAAATATTATCCTTTAAGAATTTTGTATTAATTTAAGCTAGTAGTTTGTTTACTTTTTAAATTTTTAATAGGTCTTGCAAATATTTCATTTCAGTATCAAGTTTAATATATTTATATTACAATAATAGAACAATTCACAACTTGCCCTTTACTTTTTCCTTTGACACTAGTGAAAAATATTGTATTCAAATTTATTTACTTATTTATTTATTGATATTAATTTTACCATTGTTATATTCTTTTGTTAATTCTTACTTTCTATGTAGTTATAGAGGACATGCATGAAACAATTATGATACATCAATTTGATAAATTCTATTATTTAACTCACTATGCTCTTCTTATTGAAGAACTTAACAAAGTATTAGAAAAACATTCTTATATTTATACTTGTAATTATTTTATTACTATGCAAGAAATGTTACAATTCTAATTTCATATAGATCCAGTTGGGAAAGTAGGGCTTCCTATGACTGCAAAAATAAATCAGTAACCTACCAAAAATTAAACAAATACAAAAAAATAAAAGGTTTTACCAATATTTTTTGTGACAGGAAAACAGTAGTGAAGTACTTTGAAGCAATCAATGAGCAAGCATTGGACATGGGGAGGAAGTTGGGGGAAGGGATGGGGCTGAAAGGGGATTTGTTCAAGGATTGGAGTTCCCAAATGAGGTTGAACAAATACCATTTCAACCCTGAATTTGTAGGATCATGTGCTCTCTATCTACACACAGATCCTGGATTTCTTACTATTTTACAAGATGATGAAATTGTTGGTGGACTTGAAGTTGTGCACGGAAAGACTGGTGAATGTGTACATGTTGATCCCATGCCTGACTCCCTACTTGTCAACCTTGGAGATATGGCTACGGTATGTGAAACCTTTCTTGTAGATCGTGTTCGGATCTTAGAATTGTAATGAAATTGTGAAGAGAAAAGAAAACAGTAATATTATATAAACTTGGAAGTTTTTCATAAAAAAATATTTAAAAATATCAATATCTGATCCAGATTAATCTACACATGGACCCTACAATATACCCATTTCATTTTCACCACACCCCCAAATTTTAGGACAAATTTTGAGTTCCCAAACTAACTGGAAAAAAGGGGGGATAAATTATATCAATAGTCCATGTACTTATCTAAATTTATAAACGATTTGTAAATAAGTTATATCTTGCATATTCTTTTAAAATTGGATTTAAATGGGTTGAAAATGAATACCCGCTAAGTTTTTTTTAATTAAAAAACAACAACAACAACAACAAAAAGGGCAAACAAAATAAGGAATCTACCACCTCCTCCTCCTCCACCACTACCCAACCATGACCTCCTCTCAAGGGCGGACTTAGGGCTGGGCATAGATGGCTGCAACCCAGCCCAAAATTTAAAAAATCTGAAGAATTTTTTTTTCCTAGCCCAGCCCAACTCCAAATAAGGGCCAATAGTTTTTTTTTTTTGTAGATAGGCAACCCAATAGCAGCCTAATACTTACTCAAAAAAATAGATAGGCAACCCAATAAGATTGTATTTGTTTAAAGAACAAATCTTCCAAAACAATCCTCACATCTTCCAATTAGATAGGCATCGGCCCTCTCCGTCGTCTGCAACAGCCTGCAGCAGCTCCACTTTCCTAACATTTTTGGTAAGTGTAATTAACCAATTATTTTATTTCGTTGGTTAAGAATGGATTTGATTAACAATGTGTAGACACCCCATTTTTGACCGTCCTCAAGACTCGGACGTCATCACTTGAACACTCGGTGATCATCCATGTTCGTGTTTATTTTGAGATCCCGAAGGACTCGGCTACGCGTCTTGCCTTAGGATCTCTCGACTTGACTGTTTTGTGCTTGGTTGTGGACCAAGAACTTGTGGTTTTTGCACCTAAGGGTAGGAAGTGGCTTGTTGGCCATCCCTTAAACCCACCGGCCGTGGCATGAAGCCACCGGCCTTGCTTTCTGTCTACCGACCAATTGTTTGGTCGGTCGGCACAGATATTTGGTCAGTCTGCCATTTATTTGGCCGATTGTCTCTTTTTCTGGCCGGTGCCTCCTTTTTGCCTTTTTCAGGCATTGTGCATGCCAGTTGTGCCAGCTGGAGTGCACGTACTTGTCCTCAATACACGTGTATGGAGGACTTGCACCCTTAGCACCCTTTTGCTCTAAGCTTCTTGAAGAAGCTTAGACCCTTTGTCTTAGCTTCCTCCAGAAGGTTGAACCTTTTGTCTTAGCTTCCCCAATAAGCTTGGACCTTTCGTCTAGCTTCTTGAGGGAGCTTGACCCCTTTGCTTTAGCTTCTCTAAGAAGCTTTGGCCCTTGTCTGTTCTATAAAAGAGAGCCTCCCTTCTCCTTTGGAGAGGTTCAGCAAATCAGAGGTATATATGTCATATATATCACTCTCTCTCTATATCTCCCTCTCTCTCTACATTTGTGTGGGTTAGAGTGTTCAAAAGTGAGTTTTGTTCTTAGTTTTGCACTAAGACACCTAGTGTTACACCATACTTGGGTTATTAAGGTGTTAAGAGGTTGTTCTTGGAGTTTTGAGCTGTTTTGATCAAAGAAGGGGGCTGGAGTTGCTGTTCTTGAAGTGTTCTTCAAGGGTGAGCAGTATTGCTTTATATTCCCCATTCTTGCACTAGCTTTTAACCTATCTTGCATGTTATTTTGAGCTTTATGTATAATTGATAAAAGTTCTGATTTTTCATGTTTAAGATGTTTCATTAAGGTCACTTTTGTGTTTGGGGTTGTCCTCCCCCTCTTAGGCCTTGTTTGGCCCCTTTTTGTGCCTTCTTTGTTGAGCTTTGGGAACTTTCATGTATTGGCCTTCTCACCACTGAAATCCAGAGGATTTTTAGTGGTGGTGAAGGGGTTTTGAGGTCTTGCATAGGGGAGGGACACCCCTCTCCCCTTATGTCTCATATGCTTGTGTTTTTGGCTCATAAAGGTAGCATGCATGCTTAGTTGGTTTTAGCTCCATCTCAGAGGCTTTTGGGTGTTATTTGGTCATATTATACCTCTGTTTTTGGTCAAATTGATAGTCCATTGCATGTGTCATACACTTGCTTTGTAATCCCCTTTATTGTCATAACATGCGTCTTGCATTTGGACCACCGTGCTCACATGTTTTGGCTTATCTTTGTGAAGTTTTTAGTCATGTTTTACCATGCTTGAGGTCTGAATTTGGTTGTCTTAGCCATGTTTGGCATGCTTTGTGTAGCTTCTTTGCATTCTAACTTGTAGGCTTTGAGTGTGTGAGTCATGAGCATGCTTTGCTTGAGCCATTTCAGTGATTTGGAATCAGTTATCATGCTATTTCAGTCCATGTTTTATGCTTATATACTTGCATCTACCACCAGTTCAATGTCTTGAAGAGTTGTGGTCTTATGCTCCATGTTTGGGCCATTGTGCATGCCTCTTTATTTAAGTCATTTAGATGCCATCTAAGTGGGTTTTGGGGG